ATATATTAAAATAAATTTACCATATACCATATATTATATATTATATATTTAATATTAAATAACAGAAGATTACAAAACTAATGGGTGAAAGAAGGCCTCTGATGGAACTGGGCCGTGCTTAACTGCGTCCATTGCAGTGTAATATGGAGAGCAAAGTCACGAGAATCCTAAGAAATTGCCATAGACACAAGGTAAATGCAATGTCCATTAGAACAGACGCCAGGTCTGAAAGGGTTAATGAAACATTAAAGCATTATTATGCAAAAAATTGCCGGCTGGAACTGATTGACAGCTGGCCATCAACATTTCGCATGCATCATTTTTTATCATTGCGGAAAATAGCGCAACATTTGGAATGAACGCCTGGCTCTACGGTCAGTCAGACTGCAGGATTTTTGCGCAACCGATTTTCCACATGAGACAGTGGCATGAACATATCGTATTGGGTCTCACTTCGACGTTTCAAGCCTGTTTCTCGATTCGCGTTAAGAAGCGATGCGTCAGTTCTCCCAGTGTTTACAATTGTGGACTGACTCAGTCCACTTCCTCGTATTCGGCCAATTAAGGCTCCAGGAACTCTTGGCTTGGCTTTTCCAAAATCTAGGCGATCGGAATTCGAACGCTGAGTCCCACCTGGGTGCTACGGGCCGGATCTATCGCTACGATCGATGCCAGGATCGATCAGGAAATCATGAATTTTTCATCGGTCACATCTGGTCCAAGATTCAAGTCCAGTTCCTTCGCGAAGGCCCACAGGTGGAAGAAGCACTCTCTGGGGGGTGGCCAGTCAACGACTCGAGCCACTTGTTAAGCATCCCCCGCCATACATCAAGGACTCTTTGCCCTCTTGCAACAGGTGGACGAGGCATCGACCGCGCACCAACACTAGCAGATGTCACGAACGCACGCACGAACCGAGCACACCTGCATTGCAAGCCCTCATCCCCTCTTCTCCCTTGCCCACCCGAGCGTGCATCCTCCCCATGCCAATCCGGTGCGAACCTCCTGGCGCAAACCTCCTCATGCTGCCCTCTCGGTGCTCGCCTCCCATGCTGCCCTCCCGGTGCTAACCTAGCGCATACCTCCTCACGTTATCCTCCATGCGTTAACCTCCCATGCCATCCTCCCCGTGCTAACCTCCCTTCCCGCCAGTTTGCATCCATGTGCCTGCATGGGTCCCCGGGAGGAGGTCGCGACCCGTGGGGATGAGGGTCTGGGGTCGACGTCGAGGGCTGTCCTGGCCGCAGGCACTTTCCTTCTCTTCTCCGGCGCCCTCACTTCTGTCATCGGCGTCTACGCCTTCGTCGCTCAGGTAAGAGCCGCTCTTTCATATATGTATTTAAATACAAACGAGAAAATGTATTTAAATTCGATGGCGCCCGATACAAAAATTCCTCACGAAAAACTCCCGAATCGCCCACGTTCCGTCTCGGCGGGACCTAAGAACAATCGCTTCCGACGCGAGACGTGATCGTGCACCGACAATCGATACGGAAGTTTTTGCTTTTCCGTCTCCATTTAGTCGTGGGGGGTCATCGAGGCAGAGGAAGTGGGTCGGCGCTTCCGTGACACCGCGTACCGTGTCACGCCCTTCACGCACAGAAGCGCCTCGAATGGCAGGCATTCCTGTCATTCACCCATCGATTGCACGGAGCAGCGCCGCATCGAGCACAATGGAGGGGGCCGGCATCTATTCCTATCGATTGTCGAGAGATGACTCACGCTGCCACGTTTTCAGTTTAGCGCAATTTCTCTAGTTACAAAAAATTGCAATGAAAGTGTCATAAACTGTTTAACCTTCAGGTCAATAAACGTGATAAACCGAATTCCCACCTCACGAATGCGGGGTTAAGGAGAAGCGTCCCTTCGCGAGTGCCATCTTGCGGCGAATAGGGGAACTCTGCGGTGGTTTTGGCTTGTGGAATCACGCGCGACTTTTCCGCTTCAGCTCTTTCCTGCAGACGATCGCGGCGATTGTCTAGTCGGGTATTTAGGATAGCTCCAAGACTGAGCATGCAGGAATCCAAGTACCTTTCGCACTGCTTGTAGTGGACAAGCAAGAGCGAACAGGCACTTCACAACGCATTTTCCGTGTCCCTTACCTTTTCAAACCTAGGCATGCTTGGCACACAAGGAACATTACCTCTTAGTTTCTGGATTTGGATTGAGTTTGGGTCTAATATCCGCAAAAGCAGATGGTTGACTCAAATAGTCCCAACTTTCCCGTTTCCAGTACATTTTCATAACAGCGGCATAGGCATCACGGCACTCAAATGAGTTTGAACACGGAGCTAATTGAAATTTTGCAAATTGCCTAGCAATTAAGGATTTCGAGAGCCATCAGGAAGGCACTCATTTTCAACATCAGAATAGTACTTCTGGTACTTCAAGTACTACACTGACCTAAACAGTCCTTCATGCACTGATTTTCCGCTCGATTAGACCAATGGACGAGATTACCTGGGATTCGGGTTCTTCACCGGGTTCCTCTCCTTGCTGGCCGGGATCGGGGGCATCAAGACCGGCTCGGACTTCCGCAATCGGCACTTCCTTCGAGGTAGACTTCAAGGTCCTTGAAATAAAGAAGAAACTCTGCATTTCACACAATACTCTGGGAAACAATATAAAACATTTACAATAAGTCTGTCTATTGATATTTCCTTACCGATTCCCATTGTGAAGAGCAAGTGTCTTAAAGCCCATCCTTTCTTCGGGCATTTTGTGCTTTCAGCTCCTTTTTTGGTCCGTTTTTTGCTTTTGCCCTTTTTCGGCACCTTTCAAGGACAATGCCCGATTGATTTTCTCCTTCCGAACAGGATACTTCATTCTCTCTGCACTGAGTCTGCTGAGCTCCCTGGGACTCCTGGGCCTGTGCTACCTGGCCTTGGCCAACCCGCAATCGGGGGAGAACCTCCTCCACGTCCTCGGAGCGATACTCGCCGCCCTGGCCTCCTTGAGTCTCTTGGTCGTGCTGGTGGGAGTGGTCGCCTCCTGCTGCTTCGGACGGCAGGCACCACGGCAGGCCAACACCGTGGAACCTCGCCTGCCGCCCGAGTCCTTCTACGTGTGAACTTCCGCAAAGTACCGTGATACCGTCTAGTCCACGATGTCGGCGAACCGCATCTACGTGATACACCTGAAAGAAACCCTACCAGTATACCCGAGTGAGAGACGATACTCTGCACGAACGGTGCTCGGGCTGGGATACCTCCACGTGCTTTTAGGCATCTTGGGCCTCTTGCTAGGCGTGTTAGGTGTCTGGCGGGAAGTGGAGGCCAACTGGTTCGGACCAGGGATCTGGCTGAGCCCAGCATTCATTCATGCTGGGTACCGTGGTTACCTGGCCTCGACCAAGTGGTACGTCAGCACCAACATCATGTGGTTTCTCTTCGGTTCCATCCTGTCCCAGATTGCCGGCATGTCATTGGGCGTGCTGGTGGTCTACGGGATGCAGTCGGCTGGGCCAGCCAAGCCCCTGTGGTTGACAGGAAACCTCCTGCTGGTTGCAGCGTTCGAGACTGTTGTGAGTGCCTTCAGTGTCTTGTTGGCATGGAAGGGCATGTGGCAGAGTTACAAGGACGTCGAACAAGGGAAGGATCCCGAGCCTGCGTTCTGTGCCATCGAAGACATGCCCGTGCAGCTGACCTCAGAGGGTGACATGTCTTCTCAGAGTTCCATGGATTACCGAGAGCGGGTGGAATTCCTGCTGAATCAGGCCCTTGTGGGGCAAAAGTACCTGAGGGGATTTGAGCACATCGACTACAAGTCTGAAAATGCCTGATGAACATTCTGGATTCCATCATTCCCAGCTCTTGGGAAATATTGGGTATCTGAATTTTCAATTTTGTATGAGCATTAGCTCTCTTTGATATGAAAAAATTAGAATCTTGTATAACCACATTCCCCATTTACATTCACTTCACAAATACCAAACTCTTTAGAGTCTCTTCAATAGATCTACAACTTCAAGTCATGTTTATGCCTCTCCTTCCAGAGAGGTTGCCCAAGCAATGCTACAACTGAAGTCAGACTGAACATGAAAAAATGCATACTTATTCGAGGCTGATAAAAAAATTCAAATTCAAGAAATGATACAGAAGCAAGCAATGCAGAGTTCCTGTGAATAACAAAACAACATTCAAAGTTCAGGAATTGCATAGAAACTAAAAGAAGTCTGAGACACCTATCAAGTAAGTCAAATGCACCAATCTTATCAAGCAAGGAGGATAATGAAAGACACAATGCTGAGCATAACACTTCATGGAAAAATGCTCGATTCTGAGGAATCTCTTCAGATGACACCAAGAGCCTTAAATTGTTAACCCTTTGACCACTGAGCCAGAGTATATTGGTTTTCAAACTGGCCAGAAATATGTTAATCAGATATGCTATTAATCAAATACTAAATTGTATTCTTCATTTACTCTTTTGAAATAAAATGAAATCCATATATGACCAAAAAAACCAGAGTATTCTCAAGGGACTGAAATGATGATAAAAACCCAGTGTGGCTATAAAAACCTAGCAGTCAAAGGGTTAATGTATGTGCACTGATTCAAATTTGCTCATGTCAATGTGAGAAGCCAACTGCAAATGAAGTCAGAGCCTGATGAATATATCAGGCAGAAATGAAATAGCATGGAACAGCCTCACCTGTCATGGTTTGAGTAAGGAGCAAACAAAATCTGTTTTACTTCATCAGCATGCAGGCTCACAGCTCATGCTAGCAACATTTAGGTTTGAAGCATGAATCAACCATTTTCCTCAACACTTGGCTGATAGGCATGGGACCAGCCTTACAGACGTAATGCAAAAAAAAATATGTTCCCAAAATAAAACTGCTTAACATCAACAATATCACAGCACTTGATGACTTGTGCAAGCTTGAAGTGATGCAGAATGCTTTATCCTGAATCTGCAAATTGATTTCCAACATTCTAATATCTTAGTAAAAGAAAAAGGATTAATACACTTCTCTAGTCAATCATAATAATGTGATCTCAGTGGAATGAATTCTTGCCATGGCTGCTTTTGAGGTATCCCTTTGGTAGATCCAGATCCATGACAGCAAGTCGGTCTGACAGTCGCAAGGAAATGACATAGTCCTCGATCGGAACAATGTTATATGAGCCGATGGTCCTCACAGCCCACCGTTGATCAAGAATCAGGGCATGTGGGTACTCTACAGCCAATGCTACAACAAGAAAATCATTCATTAGTGTACCATATAATTTACAAATTGTATATTCATTACCAAAGCCTCACTTGTAACAAGGCCAGTTCTACAATGAAATCAACAAGTACTGGAACAATAACTGTACTTCTTGCTGACAAAAATGATCAAATCTACAAACTTACCCCAGGCAATTACAATAGGCCTAATCAGTTCAGGTACATATCCCTTCTCTATGTTCCTCAAGTGGAAAGTTTTGCAATCTCATGCTGCAACAGCCACCCAATTTATGGGGTGAGACAATTTCTGGTCATGCTCAGGTAGGAGGGCAGATGAGAATAAGTCCCCAAGGGTAGCATTACTCCTCAGTCTTTTCAAGGATGAACTACCAGTTATTGTCAAACCTATCTATTGAACACCAATTTACACTTAACAGGCATGGTATCAGTTTGTTTTCAGAACAGGAGATAATTCTCAGTCTCATCAAGAGCACTACCCTTTGTCTTCTCGACTCTAGTTCAGGAAGGATTTAGTGAGGCTAAGAGACACTTACAGTCATTGATAGTGACAGTGAAAATGTATACTGGAAGGAAAAGTACCATAGCTTCCATACACAGGGTTCACACAAGCTTTTTTAAATCATGAGCCCTGGTGCCTAGCTTCAGCTCAGTGGGAACATGTTCAGGTGGTTGTCAATGAGTCCCATGGACTTAGATGTTCTGCAAATATGAGTCCATCCAAGAAACTATGAGTCAGGGACTTGCTGTAGCAAGTTAATGTGAACCCTGATACATATGTGCTTTCCTCCTAGATATTCCCCATTTCCTGGAATTCCTCTTTTTTTTTTTACATGACTAAGAAAGTTTGTATACATACAGGCGTTTGATAAGTAATTACCAAAAAAATTAACTCACAGAGTCTCAGAAAAAAGTATTATTTATAGATAATATTTTATGATTATTTCTAAAAGTAAAATAAAACTATTAAGAACATTAGTAGTCCTCTTGCTTTGAACCTTTCAGTCATGAATGTCCTATTTTTCAATGTTCCCACTTTTCACAAAAACATTAAAAATCTCACCCAATATAAAAATCAGCCTCTATTTGCCAGACTAGTTGTTTTCAAATCAGCAAATGCATGACAACCTGACCATTCTGCAACAATTCATGTAAGTGCAGAAAAGTAGGAGTATAAAGAAGAAGCCAGAACAGAAGGACCAGCCAGCTTTCATGGAATCACCTCCTTTTGCAAATAATATACAATGTATTTGAATGTTGCAAAATGCATTCAGCAGAATGTCTGAACCAGCATCTTCTTCTACATTCTCAATGGGGGACCTTATCAGCAACATAGATCAAAGCACCTTAACCTTCTCTTGCTGTCACCTTGAAAATAACATGAAGGCTGTCTGTCTTGGGTCTCTTTTGATTCCATTCTGTTTCTGACTACATTTGACTAGATTCATGATGATAGCAAGAGTCAGATGGGGCAATTATCATTTATGGGCAGTACCCAATGTATACAAATAAAAAATATCCCAATGAACCATGAAACAGGTACACAATAAAAAAAAAGTCATAGGAGGGGAACTCCATTTAATGTTTCCATGTCATGTAGTCAAAAAATACCCCAGCCAACAAGGGAGGGTAAAAGTGGTCTCATGCAAAAGCAGCATGATTAAAACTTTCTGGAAAATAAAAAATAAAGGGAGTGTCTCACCTTCATAGTCTACATCTACACTGTTCACTCCCAGGATAACAGCAATCTTACGACCAGGAACAAAATGATCTGGACTAGATACCACCAAGCCTCCACAAAGGGTGATCATTTCCTATGGAATAGAACACTATTATTCCACCTATTTTACCAAAGAATGAGTTTCCTCAGCTTACAAAAAATATCTAGAGGAAATCCAAAGATTGACATGCCTCTTAAAAGCCAAAATTCCTTTTAAAAAATAATGAAGGGAACAAAGGAACCAGTAGATTTGAAATCTGCAACATCAGTAAAAAGGCAAATTTGGCTGATGGACATCAAAACCAAGGATTTTGATTCACACAGGGGCTTTTGAGGTTGGAAAACTGCATAAGAAAACCCAAAGAATATTTTTTAATAATCAAATTAAAAAGAAAAAGCAGACCTACAAGATTCTGACTATTAAAGAGAACAGTTTAAAATATCTTAGGTACATTATCAATTTCAAAGTTGCATTAAGAACTCCAATTTGTTAGGATTCATGTTGAAGTCGTAGCTTAAAAAAAGTTGAGAAATGCAATCTCATACATTTAGAAACAGCATGATGGAAGTTAACCCCCTAACTGGGATGTTTTTCACCTAATGCATTTTAACCTATGGGAGGTCAGAGGTCTAAAGAAGTCTAACCCAGTTAACCCTTTTGCTGCCATTCATGCCATATGGCGTGTTCAGCATGATGAACCTTCACTGCCATGCAAGGCAAGGAGAGGTCGGATGAGCAAAAAGTCCTCAGCAGTGAAAGGGTTAAGGGGTTAAAACACATGTGGCTGTCTGATTCTCTGTTCCATAAAGTAGGATGATATCCATCAATGTTGTAGCTGTGCCTGTCCAGTATACTGGTCTGCTACAATGGAGTGTGCTGAGAACTCTATATTGGGAGTACAGTGGGTCATTTAAAACCCAACACTCAAAGGGTTAGGGTTAATTCATTCTCTTGAGCACCCTTCCCACTTTAACAAGGTGAGGGTTCCAGCAGCCAAGAGAGTAAAAGGAACAAATGATGAAACACATATGGCAGTGGTGCCCAACCTGTGGCCTACAGGCGAAAAGTGGCCCTCAAGGTGCTTGCAAGTGGCCCATGAGGCCCTAACCCACAATACCCTCAGATTTTCTAAAATGTTCTCTTACAACATAGTGACTTAATGTGGCCTGCAATGGCTGTGGTAGTGAGATATGTGGCCCTCTAGCTGAAAAGGCTGGACACCACTGACTTATGGTATCTCATCAAGTGACTCTCCTCTCTAATGGAGTGCCCTGCTATGTAGCATTGGCCAATCAACACTCAAAATGATGTGGACTTTTTTGATAATGCTCAATGGCCCAGAAATGATCCAATTTGAATGTGTGCAAACACACTGGAGTCATCTTGAAGGATGATGCAATAATGTTTATTTTATGAGAACCTGCAGAAAATCTACTTTCACAAGCAGTCACAGAGAATCAGAAATTTTAAACACTCCAAAAAGATGTAGGATAAAATGCCCTTTCAGAAAACTTAATTCAATTTTTCTTATTTATATTATATATTAGTCTTCTCAAGAGGGGGAAGGACTATAGAGAGGCACCTTCTACACCAACTTTCCATGTGGAGTTGGCAAAGCATTGCTGAAATGTGAGAAAACCTTTGTGGAAGTACCACATCTCTGCCTATTTGCCTAATTTCAGTTTTGAAGGACCCCAAGCTACAGGAATTTTACCAGCCAGTTTCTCTTCACTCTGATGGAGTTGAGCAGCAAAATGTGTGCAGTGAAGATAATGATACCAACACCATCTCCAGAGGGGAGTGATGATCTTGCTGTGGGTGTGAAGCATTCATCTTTGAATGAATAGTTGGTAGGAATGAATAGAAGGGAGACATGTCCTTTCATATTAATGCAAAGGAACTATAACAGAATATGAGAGAGCAACAGCTGCATAAATATTAATCAGGGAAATCATCATCATATTGCAAGCTATCTCTGATCAACAAGGAAAGGAGATATGATTAATCAACATAAGCCATACCTCCATGATCTGCCGTGAAATATTCCTCAGAGGTTCTAGGCATGCAACCTGGACATTCTCAAATGGAGGTGGAGAACCCGTCCTAGCTCTGTGTGGACCCATCTCATGATTTGCATAGGTGGCCTCAAAATCGTCCTATAATAAATATCAAAGCAGTCAGTGGATGATAAGAACAAGGAACAGAAACATCAAATCCATCCAGAGTGCAAGAAACAGCCACATTGATGGAATAAGTCTTTTCCACATGGTTCACACATCCTAAGAAATTTGACTGACTTCTACCTACATCTGAAGCAAGAAAAAAAAGGCTTCTTTTAAATCACACCAACAATAAATAAAAATCTTGCAACTTGTTGCATGGGAATTCATACAGCTCCCTTCAAGAAAGGCCTTTGGTACTTTCAGTGTTTGGCACAGTTGACTTGGCACTTCAGCTGGGTCTTACCTCAGGCAAGCACATCTTGGCATTCAAGGACTTTTGCACCCAGGAGAAGTCGACGATCCACTTTCGATGACAGATGCCATAGAGAAACTTCATTGTGACCTTCATGTTTTGGTACACTATCAAATGAGTCACTTGAGGATTGAAGCTTTGCACAATTCCAGCACCAATCAATCTGGCAAACTTTTCCACCATCTGTTGATCCTTTTCTGTGAGAGCAGAACAGAGGAGCACTATCTTCTCCTTCACCCTGCTTGGAGCAGACTGTCTGAAATTACCAGGAAAAGGCCAAAAAGCATAAAATATATGTCTCAATGCAAATCAGAAACTGGCAATGATGAACCCCTCCCAAAATAATGCCAAAAGCAAAACAAAATAGCATAAATGAGCACTTGCTTCACTTGACCCTGAGAAGGTGATGGGGTCTTGATGTGATCCTGCTTCTCCAGGTTTTCTTCCATTTCTGTATCACCTCCAATCTTTCTCTCCTTTTCTTTCTCCTTCATCTGCACCAAAAGCAGTTAAAAGTAGAAACATAAAAAAAGGCTTGAATTTATTCAACATTTCCCAAGCAGGTCCTCTTACATTGCCTATAGATAGTTCTGCCGAACAGGCCAAATTCTTCACAGAAAAAAATGATACAAGAAGCTAATTTCCTCTCCTTTTGCTTCCATATAACACTCAGCAATAATTCAATTTTGAACCATACCAGATGGAGACTCAACAGGCAGCTTTTGAAAAAAAGAGAAGAAGTGATCTATGCCTAAGGTCTCTCATTTCTTCACATCAGATTCTATCCTATTATGAATGACAATGGCTTTCAAATTCAAATAAACTTACTTCTTATATATATATATATATATATATATATATATATATGCCTAATGATTATTCTTACTGGTGAGTGACTCAAGCATCATCAGTGGCCATTATACAAAACATGATCTCCGTATGGTAGCTATTGCAATTCTTGTTAATTCCCAGCATACTGTAAATGTCATTTTCCTTCTGTATATGAACTCTACAAGAAATTCTTATTCATGTTAATATCAATCTAAAGCCTGGTCAAACAGAATGTGGCTGCCTTCAAGCTAGACCAGGCCTAGGCCCACAATGAATGTTAGTCGCAGCCCTTTCCTAAGCCTGATGCTTCCTCCTGGTCAAAAACAATTCAAGTACAAAATTTGAGAAACTGGTCAGAATATCTGACCCTACTACATTCAAGAACACAGGCTAGGTACAGGACTATCCCTAAAACTGAGAAAGTAGTGTCACCAACAGCTTAAGAGGCCTAAACAAGTGGTTAACCCCTTGGGGTCCACTCCCAAGTTATCTCGTGTTGGCCTCATGATAAAGGATAGAGAAAACATGGATGATAGTGCTGACACATTCAAAATGCTTGGACCCCAAAGGGTTAATGCAAATTTTCCTGAAACCACATAACAACCTCGTTGTGACTTCATGTAGTCCAGTAACAAGTCCGCATTAGTCTAGACACATTCAAAATGAAAGGGGACCCCTGCAAATGAAAAAAACTCACTATATCTTCAAAAGATTCATCTGCAAAACCTGATGATATCAATGTTTGTGCTGCTGAATCACAGAGACGGAGGGGATTCGTTTGGACACTGGTGACTTGCAGCTGTGGAGAATGCAAGTGTTGAGGACTACTTTGGACAATCTCCAAATGAAGATGTATTGGGGGCATAGAGATTCCTTCATCATAACGGGGCACTTTTGCAGGCATCGGTTGGAAACCCAAAGAGAGCCGAGATGATGAACTGGGTGCGCGGGCTGGTGCCCTGGGTGCTGATGTTTTGGGGGCTTCAGACTCGTGTTTCCTCTTGATCTTCTTGACTTCAGGGCTGGAAAATCCAACCAATGCAAGTGTTAAAACAGTGAGGTGCTGATGATTCTAATCCCTTGAAACAATAGACATGTCAGAGGGCTTCTTCTTGTACATTATGGGCTGTGTGAATGAAATTCAAACAACTAAATATAATCAACATTTTCAATTTTGATTACAATTAGCATAGTTGTTGGTATTCCCTTAGAAACTCATTCAAAAATGAATGCATTCGATTTATCAAACAAAAAATATCCCCTTTAAGCATAACATCAAAAATTGCAAATCCTTACAACAAAAAAACAAATTCTTGCATCCCAAGTGCAACTCAAATTCATAATGGTATATGCCCACCTTTGTTTAGAGTTGGGTTCATTCAATCCGTTGTTGGCTTCTCCTGCACCCTTTGCTCCCCAGAAGATGCTTTGAAAAGATCCCATACCTCCTCATATGACTCAGGATTGTATTATGCCAGTTCCAGATTGCTTCTACCAAACAATAGAACAATACAATTCTTGAAGTTCCCTTAGCCAACCCACTCTGGCTGGCTCAGTAAACTCTTTTCAACTCTTGATGTGCAACTCCCCATGAGTTACGAACCAAGGCAACTGTGAATTTGTCATAAATCATTGGCTCTAGCTTCTATTAATTATTTTAGGATTCATTCCCAACTCCCAAAAGTTTCGAAGACCAGCTCTGGATGGGCTTAGGCCATAGAAAATATCACTCCATAGAAAATATCTATGGAGTGAAAGTCCTAGGAAACCATGATAGAAATCATTTACAATAAACTTTCCTTATATCTTCACGTCTGACATGCAAGGATTTGGAATTGCCGCAGGGGTATGCAAAAACCTTACCAATTAAAGACCTCAAAAATTGGGAATTTTAGCTTAACTCGATCCATGTCCCTATCTGTATTTTTGTCCTTCGCACAAAAGTAGCTTTAAAAAATGCCACGAAACCCCTCCCATCGTACTTCGATTTCTTCCTATCCGCAGCGGGCTGCTAGGTGATTTCTGAATTCTATATATATTGTCCTGTAATTCCATTTCCCAGTAACTGTCTCATATATCTTATCGGTCTCGCGATGATGCGTCGACGGAAAGTCAGACATTCAGCCGCGTGAAGGTGAGGTTTAAACTAGTCGAGCAGGGCCAGACGAATCCGCCGCGTGGACTCGGCACGTGCTGCACCCTGGTGGCATCGCCGTCAATGTAATGACGTTACCAGTGTTGCAAGATCGTCGGTCAACATGAAGGCGTTCCGTGGTATCTCTCATCTCTTATCGACACTTCACGCTTCATAACTGAATGCCACATGAACACTAAAGAGTTTAAATTGTGGTATGTTTAGATTATATAGTTACTTCCTGCAATTTCTTCAACTATTTCTGTCGACCATTGCGGCGCAGTGCGAATCACCGCGACATCCCTAGTCGAGTTCGAACGTTAGTCCTAGTCGAACCTAAGATAGGCCTACTCCACTAAAGATAAATGTTTTCGATAGAATCCGCTTTCACGCTCCTTTCCTTTTTTCCATGAAGGCACGCAATCGCTTCACCCGTATTTCACTCGCTTGTGTGAGTCATTTTTGAGGCTTGCATTAACGTCGCCCTCGTGAAAACGCTGTTAACCCGAGTCGACCCGGGGAACGACACGATTCAGCATTTCTTTCGCGTATTATCTGTCTGGATTGCCTGCATGCCTGTCGACGCCGAATGTTTCGGCTCTGCTGCGGCGAAAGTAGTCCAGAAATTCTTTCCGGATCGCCACGCGTGGTTACAGGGAGACACCAAGTGCAAAAATTAATGGAAACGTGATGAGACTCTCCTGATTTCCTCACTTTCTCTTCATGATGGACTTTCTAAACTCTTTTTGCGGTCGTCCTCTAGTTACGGTTACCATACGTCCGGATATTTTCCCTGGTCCACCTTTTTCGCCTTCAAATTTCCGTCCAACTTCTAAGCGTCCTCTTTTTGGCTGTCCGAAATTTAGTAACCCTACCTCGAGTGCTCGAGGCTCTTGTGGTGAGATCGGGATTTTATATAATTATATATACTGTATCTACATTTATTATTATATTATATTGTGATCGTCATTGTCAATTGTTCCGAACTTACGAAAAAAAACCCATGACGTACTCAGGATTTTGGAAAGGGGGGCTCAATATTACGGTTGCTGGGTGTTGAGTGGAGATGGAGGTTGATGGGGCGGGGCGGGGCGGGGCGGGGCGGTGGCGGATGGCTCCCTACTGCCAGGCTCGCAATCGTTTTTGATAATATTTATTTTGGCGACCAATTCGCTTTCTTCCACTTGATATCTGAATCGGGAGAGAGCAATGAATCTCCTTGTTTTACCGAAGGTAAAAATATAAAATGTGAGCGATGGGGAAGGACCCGCCTCTTCGAGGTTTTCTTCCAGGTTGCTGCGGGACAAAGAGATAATAATAATTAGACATTTTTTCTCTTAACTGTTGACCGTTGATGAATAGCGGGACCTCGATATGGATGAGCCTAATAGAGATAGAACTCTCGAGGCTATCTGTTTCTGTGATAACCTTATAATTCCCTCTTCCAGACCTTCTTTCCGCTCTTCCAGGCCTCCTATTTACTCTTCCAGGAACGATTCGACCAGATGCATAACGAAGTTCGTCCGTGAACCCATATAATGTCTTCCTACGTGCGACTCCTCCCATGCAGAGCGGCACGTACCGAAGAAGCACGAAACAGAAACGCTTTTTCACGTTAAGCTGCCGATCCCGCTCTAAATCCTTCTCAAGCATATACACCGTGCACGGGAAGAAGCATCTCCTTCAACCGTCCCATTTGGGACGGTTGAAGGTCCGCCATCCATCTGGAGGTCACCAGGAGGAGGAGGAGGTGGGAGGACGCCGTGCTCGTCACGAGCGCGATGAGGCCGATGAGGCCACCCGAGTCGCTCCCTCCATTCACAGCAGGGATGTGCAATCCGCGGGCCGCGTGTGGCTCGTGGATATATTTCTAGCGGCTCGGTAATGCGTAATGGGGAACAGATGAAATAAGTTCCTTTGTGACCCATGGGCCATCGCAACTTCATCCCTAAGCAACTAGAAATAGATTATAAGTCCATTAATTTCTTTCTAAGTATCCTTCACTGTGAAATTGTTGCAAATGCCCAGAGGAAGAAGGTTCACGATGCCGAGGCTAATGTTGGGCGTTGGGTTTTCCTAGGAGTGGGGAAGAGATGAGGGTCGTCGGTCGATCGGCGTGACCTTATGCCCTCGTATGCCCTAAGGGCATGAGAGAGGAGCTTTTCTATTGCATTCCCTGATCCGCGTGAAGAGTCAGACATGCATGCGGCCTCGCATAAAGGTTGCACACCCCTTGTTTACTAGTTCTCTCACTAAATCCTTATCTGCTTCCTAGTAGAAATTCAGACAGAAATTCAGTAACTTCTCGGTCGAGGAGGGGGGGGGTATGGAGGACGCATTTATATCAAACTGGGGGGGGGGAGGCTGAATCTTCCCCATTCGTGTTCATCAGTTACAACAGGATTGCATTTGCCGACCATGTTCGGGGTGACTCGGGGATGTTTTATGATCTTATCTGCCGTACTGGGAAACCCGACGGTTATCTACACGGTGATTGGTTTATGGTCGTGCGATCCACTGCTCTTCCTTGGCACATCCCTGCCTTCAGAACTCAAGGGAAATGCCCCAGACAAATCATTTTGCGAGGAAAACGAAGATCGGAAAATTAATTTATAAAAAAATAGTTTGGAGTTGCTTTCAAGCAACGATGCCCTCTCTTGGATGAGAGCTGATGAGTCGCTTCAAATCGATCTGTTTCCGTTACGAAAACGATTTCTGACCTACTCTAGTCAGCATATTTATTGCACAAACGAGAAAACCGACACAATTCGATAACAGAATCTGGCATCGACATTGTCAAAGTTACGCAAGACTTTGTTGACCCAGAGTCGAAAGGCCTCGCGACAAGCTCCCGAGTATTGCCCCCTGCCCCCCCCCCGGGGGGGGGGGGGGGGGGGGGATCGTCTGTACATCAAAGTCATTGGGGGGCAATAAATTCAGAGTTCATCCCACAGCACACAGTCGCTTATCGCGGAATATGACGCATGCCCTCTAAAACTCGACAGCAATTGCATTGCCACCCGATAAACAGCTCCGGGTCGGGTCCGCTATAAAAAGCGGGGGTCGTCCCCGCCCTCGCGCGTCCGTCTTAGCACTGCTTGGATTCGCGTGGTCTCATCACGCTCGTGGCAAGCATGAAGTCCGTCGCTCTTCTTGCGCTCCTGGTGGCCTCCACCCAGGTGAGCAAGATTGCAAGATTCGCATTGTGTCTGTTGACTTGCTTCTCATCGCGAATTGAAGGCTTGGATCTATTGCGGGACGCCAACTAATGACGAAGAAACTATTATTATTAAGTTGGCGCACGCCGCTACGCGTGAGAGTTGCTCGTAGAACCGCACAGTGACATCGATGGCTTATCGAAAAAGTTTCAATATCTCATGTTGAATCGTGCAAAAATAAATAAGTAAATAAATAATACAAATACAAATAAAGTAGAGGACATGAGGGGAGCCTCGAGAGCTTACGATTACCTATTTCGAGGTTCCACTGCTCATTATTAGACAAGAGTCAAGGAACAATTTTGTTCCCGTCCAGGCCTTCGTCTTTATCCCGCCTCAAGTTCTGGAGAACTTACAGAAGCCGGTGTCCGCTGAGCGTCCAATCTACCCCGCATTCCCCAACCCCCTTCCCCCCTTCTCCAAGCCAGAAGCCCAGGAACCCATCCGTCCCTACCCCATCCCTGAGCTTCC